GTTGATAAGGATTTATTCACCCTAGGTACTTTACAGAACTTTTAATTTCATATGTGGACATTTGAAAGTTAAAGTGTACTAGTGTTCTCAGCTACTGTGAGTCAGTGAACCATATGGCAGGAACTGTGTTAGTTTTTGGAAATAATTTTATCAAGTGAAAGGAATTAAAAAATTTATTTGTAACTTTGAGTTTCATATAGTATTAACATTTTGGGGGGTTTATGTAGTCTCTACTGGGCTCAATATTTACTTTAAACAAATCAGGGAAAAGTACAGTTGAATTCCTTTCCAAATCATGGCAAGTGGATATGTTTTTAAAACTTCGTTCATACCTACAAGGAAGGGAGAGAGGGATAGATAGGTAGATTGATAGGCAGTGTGCATGCTACAAGGACAGCTCACAAACAAATGTACGAGAGTGTGTGAGCAGCTGAGTGTAGCGGCTGCACCTGTAATCCGAGTACTCTAGGAGGCTGAGGCAAGAGGATTGCAAGTTTAAACACTTCCTGAATAATTTAGTGAGACTCTATCTCAGAATGAAAAATAAAAGGACAAGAGATATAGCTCAATATGAAGGCCTGGTTTCAATCCTTTAAAAAAATGTGTAAGCTGTAGAGTACCCTTCTTCCAAAAAAAATACTGAAGCATAAGCTTATATTCAATTTTAAACTGCAGGGTGTTTTTGAAGAATTTATTAATGTTATTGTTGTTGTTATTATTTTAGTTTAATGGATTCTGCATTAGATATTTTCAGAGGTGTTTAATTTTTTCTTAAATATTAATAACCACTGATAAATGATTGATAATTAGATTTTGCCTATGATTGTCTTCTTCAGGTTTGGTCATTCACTATACCTATAAGGAGAAAAAACATCTGTGGAATTCTTAACTTTCCTAATGTTGTTTGTAGCATAAAATCTTAGTGAGCTAGGTGTTATGTATTTAGTGAGTTCATTCTGCATTAGATAGGAAGGCAGATGGTAGTGTGCAGCTAAAAATCTGTGCAAATAGGAGGACAGATGGGTGACTTAAGTGGTTTAAATGATTCCATGAAAATATTTGTGTGGAGATCCTGACTCCTACAGTTAGCTAAAAATTTTAAGGAGTTAATTAGGAGTAATAGGGTTCATATAAGAAAGTGAGTTTTTAAAAGCATGACATTAAATATGGAAGTAACTGAATTCATTTGTTGTACCTTTTGAACTGCCAATAAAAGTTAACTGATTAGAATGCAGTACCCACATACTCTTGCCTGGTAACTGTTTGCTTTATTTCCTTATTATGAACATGTACACTATAGCTTATTACTTGGAATTAATTTATCTGGATAGTTGTACATGGTCTTTGGAAATTGTTGTCAGAAATAATTTGCTTCATTTCAAACAACAGAAACAAACTAGTTTTTAAAATTGTGAATCAAAGCACAAAGACAAACAGTCATTGAAATGAGTCTCAGAAAGGGCAGTGGTTGGCCTGCTTCACAGCTTCTGTTGGAGTCAGTGAACTTTCGCACTCATTTAGCCATAAGGCCATGTAGCAGGCTCCCAGAAGATGAGCTGCCCTGCGGGCAGGTCTGCATCTTGGATCTTGGGTGCCAGCCAGATGTGCAGGGGTTGCCTTCCGACTTGTGTGGGTGAGGAGAGACAGGAGGCGCTCACTTGTAGAAGGAACCTTCAAGACTAGCTGCAGCTGTGTCACTTGCATTGACTCTTGGGTACTTTCAAATAAATGTATTTTTGCAAGAAAAGGGTGTTAAACATCAGAATTCATTTGTAAAAATGTTACATGTTCTGTGAAGTAATAATATATTGAAGTCATTTATTAATTGCTAAGTTATTAAAATTATAGCACATACATATAGAATGAGTTCAAGCTCCTTGAGGGATTTACGTGAATTGATGCAAAAAGTTTACTGGATTCAGATAAACATTTTTTAAAAATTAAAAATCCAAATAGAATAAAATTTTTAAAAGGCCATGGAGCAAGCCAGGTGGCCCATGCCTGTAATCCCAGCACTCAGGAGGCTGAGGTAGGAGAACTGTCATGAGATCAAGGCTAGCCTATGCTACACAGCGAGACCTTGGCTCAGAAAACAACAGCAACAGCAACAACAGCAACAATGAAAATCACAAAGCATACCTCATAGGAGAAAATTACTTCAAACTTAAATCATATACCTAAACATTTTTTCCAGTTGTTATTTTTACTAGTACGTTTGCATTACATAATGATCATATTTCTTGTGAGGAGTTGGTACAGTACATAACCCATCTCAATTTTTTAATTTAATCTCCTTTTCCTCCCTTCCCTTCCTACTTCCTCCATGTCTTGATCCCATTTTCATTTGAAAAATATCTTATCTCCCTCTTTCCTGTAATCTATCTTTTATTTTGCTTTATTTATATTATGGGTTTCTCGTGTAAGAGAACACATGCAATGTTTAAATTTGTGTGTCTAATTTACTTTACTTACCATTATAGTTTTAAGGTGCATCCCTTTTTCCTACAAAAGACTCAAGTTTATCCTTCTTTATGGAAGAATATTACTCCATTGTATATAAATAGCATAGTTGCTTTATTCATTTATTCATTCTGTGATGGACATAAAGGCTACATCCAAGATTTAGCTCTTATGAATTTTGCTGCTGTAAACACAGAAATGCACGTATCAGTGTAATATGATGTCTTTAACTCTGGGGATGATACCTAGTAGGAGAGTAGCTGGGTCAAATGGGATTTCTACTTGTAGTTTTTGAAGACTTTCTGTACTGATTTCCATAGTAATTATACTAGTTTACATTCTCACCAGCAATGTAGAAGGGATTTTATTTCCCTGCAGCCTCACTGGCATTTCTTACTATTTGATTTCTTAGTGATAGCCATTCTTTCTGCAGTAAAATGGAATCTCAGCGTTGTTTTAATTTGCATTTCTCTGATGGCCGGAGGTGTTGAACGTTTCTTCACGTATTTGTTGGTCATTTGTGCTTCTTCTCGGAGGTGTCTCTCCATTTTGGCTGCCCATTTTTTGATTGGGTTTTTTATTTTGGGGAGGTCTAATTGTTTTGAGTTCTTTATATATTCTAGATGTTAGTTCTCTGTCTGAGGAATAGCTGGCAAAATTTTTTTCCCATTCTTTGGGTTGTCTTTTCACTCTGTTGGTTGATTCCTTTGCTTTACAGAAACTTTTTAATTTGATGTGATCCCATTTGTTGATTTGTGGTATTATTTCTTGTGTCATTGGAGTTCGGTCAAGAAAGTCTTTGCCTCCACCTATGTCTTCAAGAGTTTTACCTATTTTGGGGGCTGGGGATTTAGCTCAGCGGCACAGCGACTGCCTGGCAAGTGCAAGGTCATGAGTTCGATTGCTGGTACTGGAAAAAAAAACAAACCAAAAAAAAAAAAACAAAAAGAGTTTTACCTATTTTATCTAAATATGTAAGGAATTATGGTACTGGTACATAGCATAAGATGTACCATGCTGTGGGTTGGAGTTGAAAAAAGTGTGAAGAACTTCTTTAGTGGTTTAACTTTTTTTCTCCAGTATTCTTCAGATCTGAACTGAACTAAAATATTTGCTTCCCATTTGCCACTCTAGTGTGAGAATCTCTTCCTACTGAGCAATGAAAGAGCATAAAGTACTCTGGTTTAAAAAAAAGTTTTTTTTGTCATTGAGAAGTTCTTGATGTTATAAAGTAAAATAGATCTTCTGGGTCAACATTTTGTGAAATAGCTTGGAGAGTTATTAATATCCTTGTGTGCAGGAGCCAGGTAATCATGGACTATAGCTAAAGAGTTATATTCTGTAAAATAAACGTGCATTTCCCTGTGAGAGGTTGGTGGTGCTTACAGTACTTGGAAATGTTAGAATTTGTTGTTCATAGTGACATGCTCCTCCACTGGAAGGTTTCTTTCTTTTCATGTGTGTAGCTCCAGTGCTTTAGAATTATAGGGTGATGAAAAATGTGAGAGAATTGTGCTTTTCATTTTGTTGTTCATGTGTAAGTGGGTACTGAGCCTAACGGAAGAGAGTGTATCATCTCAGAAATGCTCAGTATAAGATCTATTTTGGGAAAGCAGTAATTTGCAGGATTTCCTTGGAATAAAAACTAATAAATGTTTTGAAAAGTTTCAAATCTCAGTTAATAAGATCTGTTTACTCGATTGGCATGAAAAAGATTGTTTTACAATTTTAGTTTATGTACGTATTCATTCACTTATATTAGCAATCTGTGAATATTTTATAAATGATTTTGGTAAAAGACCCATCAAGGTTTTAATTAGACATTATGAATATCTCCTGTATTACTTGAATATCAAGTCTGAATTTCTCTGCTTAGATTTCAGGTCATTCAGTGCCTGGAACTGTTCTGTCTATACAGATGCTGTATTTCTTCATCCCTCACCCCCTAAAATTGTTCTCTCGTGTTACCTGCGTAACATTGCTTTTTCTTTACGTGGACTTGTTCGTATTCCATGTACCAGGCTATGCATCAAGGACTCTGCTTTCAAATTATAAATTCCTAATGGTTAGCACAGTTCCGAGTAATCTTCAGTTAATAATCATTGTCTTAAACTTTTTTATATGCACCAAATCCTTAAAGGTCTGTTTTCCCTACAAAGCCTCTTTTGGCTGTCTTTCTCTTACTAATACTTTAAACTTCAAAATTTAACATTATTTTCATGCTTCCTTATTTAGAGTTTCTTGTGCATTGCCGTTCCAGTTTGGTATAAGCTCCTTGACGGTGAGCGTATTTATATGTCTGTATTTTTTCCTAGTGTATTTATTTTGAGTCACCAAACATTTACTATATAACTTTTGTAACAACTTCTGTTGGACTGGTAAATAAATAGTGCTTTTCATAAAACCACATGTCGTATATATTCCATAAAGTTTTATTGCTTTTTAATAAAATGTGTGAAATAATATAAATTAATGGTAATCCAGATTACATACAGTGAAGATGAAGCTTATTTTTTTGCTTTCTTCTGTGTTTTCTTCAGGGAAGGAAACAGAGAAGGCCAAGGAACGTTATGATAAAGCCACAATGAAGCTTCACGTGTTACATAATCAATACGTGTTGGCACTGAAAGGGGCTCAGCTTCATCAAAATCAGTATTATGACACCACGCTTCCTCTGCTTCTGGACTCTTTACAAAAAATGCAAGAAGAAATGATAAAAGCACTGTAAGATACAGTTCCTGCTTACCATAAGATTTCCCCAGAAATAATTTCAACGTATTTTTCCCCATAGTTAAGCCTGAGCTTCATTATTACCTGGGTTGGTGGTTTTTTCCAAAACCGTTTTACCTTCATTCTTGACTTTCACTTCTGGTTTTCCTTCTGTTTGTACTCACTCATCTCCTGCGCTGTTTAGCCAGTCCCCCAAGAATGGTCTGTTTCTGCTTTATTCCCTTTAGCTGCAATTTTAAGTGAAAAATACTTAATTAGTTGATAATTATTAAGAAGTGAATACCCATCTCCAGAGGGTTGGGCTTTTAAATCTTGAGCTAGTAAGTATTAAGAAGTTTTTGAAGGTTTGTTTACCAGCTTCTTGCTTTTTTTTCTACTGTATGAAATTAAATTCAACAAATGTTATTTGAGGCAGAAATATGCAGGCTCTTGAGGTAGAATATGAGGCAGAAGTATGCAGGCTCTTAATTCCAAGGAGGTAACAGTATACTTTAATCAATAATCACATGCATGCACTTTTACCGTACACTTTGATATAAAACAACAGAAAAAAGATAAGCACCCTTTAGGACAGACTTCTCCTTTTCTAGTTGATTTACCTCTTCCCAAATAATTAGATTCATTTTTTTTTTGCACTGAAAGTGCGTGTAGTAGCAGAGTTGCTGTGCATTAGTAGATTTGGGGAAGCCGGAAGGGGAAATGAGGTAGTGATGAAGGAGAGTTGGAGAAGAAATAAGTATTTATCTCGGGTAGAGATAAAGTTCACGAATCATGGTGAATTATGACACAATGCGCTTGGGCCGGTTAAGTACAAGTTCTTCTGTTCTAGTTGTAATTTCATAAATTAGCAATTGTGCAGTTTGGAATGTAGCAGTGAATTAATATGAAAGGTAATTGTAAACATTTTTCAGATCATGATGTAAAGGGAAGCCTGAGTATCATATAATTTGACAGGTGCCAGAGTAACTATAAAAGGTAAAATGATAATTTTTAAAACAAAGTATTGTACTCTATGTTGTGGTTTTTAAAGCACTTTCATGTGCATTTGCTTATTTGCTTCCTTGTTCTGTACAGTGTCCTGAAGAATTAGGAAGATCAGGTTTTACTCAGGCTATATCTGTGACAGACAGATCAATACTGGTCAAGATCACAAGCTAAGAGGTAGGAGATTTCAGGTTGAGGTTAGGTCTTGGATTAATCCAGCATTCTTTCCAGGAGAAGGATATGGTGCATTGACCAGACTGCTCTCAGAATTCCTGTGTGGCTAGAATCTCAACTGTGACCATATTTTGAAATAGGATCTTTGCAGATCTGGTAATTAGTTAAAGATCTCATGGTGAAATTATCCTGGATTTAAGATAGTCCCTAAATCCATTAACTGGAGTCTTTATAAGAGGGGAGGACAGAGGGAAGATAGAATACTACGTGAAGATTGAGACAGATTTAGGGTTGGCACTACAACCCAAGCAACACCTGGTACCCTTAAAAGCTGGAGATATTTTTTTATATTACAAACGTTCTTTTTTGGTAAAACTTTCCAAAGTGTACTAGTCAACACATTTTCTATTTTAATAATTATATAGAAGGGGGAGTGTTATAAAATTTCCTAATAGCCAGTCAATGATTACCTTGATATTAACCTTAGTAAATGGCTTCATTGTTTCCTTTGAAGGACTCTCTGGTGCCTTAACAGATTTAGTACAACTATCTATCCTTGTGTTACGTTTTTCCATTGACATAGAACTTTTTCAGATAAGAGATTTAGGTTCCCAATATTTTTTGAATAGTAATGAGTTCTGGAACCTCTGAAGTTAGATCAAATTTGTCTTTGCTGCCTTTCAGACTCTGCCTGACTTACTTTTGCTTCTCTTTCTGTAAAATTGTGAAGATAACTAGATACATACTTGTAGAGGTAAGACTAAATTTTAGATTATCCCAATAGTCACAGTAAGTAGATAAGATAAAGTTTTTAGTCAGCTTGAATATATAAACTTATTATTATGGATAAAATAGTGAAATGTATAAAATGTTTAATTCATAAGTTTACTTTATATTAAATTTTTTGATTTAGGAATATTGTTCCCTACTCTCATTTTGTAATAAATATTTTTCAGACTACTGACATGAATTTTAAATAACTAGAACATTTTTGAGAAGAAATAGTTTCTCACAGAATATTGTTTTCATTTTGTAATATATTATTTTAAATCTAGCATTTTAATAACCCAAGCATTACATTATCACTGTAATTAAATCCCGTGTGATAAGTAACCTGCCCTCCATTTTTCTTAAGGGCAAATATTAATGATTTCCATGTCATAAACATCTTAACTCCAGGGATATTGCCACATCTGTATTTAAAAATTTTCCTTCTCCTTTTCTTTAAATTGTGCCTGTCAGTTGATTTCAGTAATCATTTGAATGTAGCATTGCCTTAGCCAGTTTAAATCCTATTTTCTTTAACCCAAACACTATTTTTCTGTTTAAAATAAAGTAACTGAGAGAACACTTCCTAATAAGGTAGCTTCATGAATAATGATTTTCGTTCATGAGTAATGATGTTTTAAAAAGAAAAAAGACATGCTTTTTATGTGTCTGGCCACATACACGATCAGCTTACTCTCTGCACTTACTGTTGAGGCCGTGGATGTCTCGTGGCTTATTTTTACAGCATAGCATTTGTAATTTTTATTTACTGTTGCCAGGTAGCATTTTTAAGGAGGAGATTTGATGTTTGTGGCAGACTGTTTTTTTTTTTTTTTTGTCTTTTTGAGACAGGGTCTTGCTGTGCAGTTCAGGCTGGCCTTGAGCTCACTTTGTAGCCTAGGCTGGTCTCAAACTCACAACGATCCTCCTGCCTCAGCCTCCCAAGTGCTGGGATTACAGCCGTGCACCACCACGCCCGGCTTGTTCTTTTACACTTAATGGACTATGCTTATTTTGATAACATTTTTGTTACCAACTAAAGGTCAGAAGAGATTCAGATTTCTTGAAGGTACACAACTAGTAGAATTAAGCAGGATATAGAAAAAGGAACAAAGCCGCAAGAGGAAGAGAAGAGCCGGGAGGCAGGACCTGTGAGGAGTGCTATATACTGGACAGGAACACTAAAGTTGCAGGAAACAATCAGAACTCCATGTTATGGAATCCACAATTTCTATGAGAATATTTAGAAAAATTTGCCAACAGTGGTTTTATGTGTTGTGCATGTCAGATATATGTTTCAACAGGTAATGTCCAATTCTATGTTATTTGTAGTTATCAGATGTAAAGTGCTAATCTGTATATTTGTATAATCTCTTTACTCTCCAGGTATATGAAATAAGATGGTACATGAAATGACTATCTGTAAATACTGATATTGTTTCTTATGTCTGTTGTTCTCTATCCTTTTTGGGTCTCTCTTTCTCTTGATAAAACTTTAAAATGTTGTAAAATTTTATTTTTGTTTTCAGAAAAGGTATCTTTGATGAATACAGCCAGATAACCAGTCTTGTTACAGAGGAAATAGTAAATGTTCATCAAGAAATTAAAATGTCAGTCGAACAGATAGATCCTAGCACAGAATATAATAATTTCATAGACATTCATCGGTATGATATTTTCATTTCTCTTTAAGTAATTGTGAAAGTATTATATTTTAAAAAAACAGTTATCAAAATTAAAATAAGAAATATCTGAGAACTTTCTAGGAAATTGTTTATCGTAGATTAATTTGTCTCCTTTACATTTTCAAAAACTCTCAATGTTAATTTATATAATTATTCCTAAAATTTGTTACTTATTATATTACTGAGTTACAAGTTATTTCTTTATGTATGCATCTTCTTTCATAATTACTAGAATTGAGACAGATACAAAGCAAGTTAATATCTGTATTTTATAAATGAGGAGACTAAGATTCACTTACATAGTTGGATCTTTGATGCCTAGAGTTTACTTCATATTATTTTGTATCTACTTTGTAGATACAATTTTGAGTAAGAATAAGTACTCTGCCTTCAGTGTATACTAGTATGTATATGTTATAATAATTTACTAATATTGATCAGAATTATTTGGCATACTTTACTAGAACAACAGCTGCTAAAGAACAAGAAATTGTATTTGATACTTCCTTATTAGAAGAAAATGAAAACCTTCAGGCAAATGAGATCATGTGGAATAATTTAACAGCAGAAAGTTTGCAAATAATGTAAGTATTGAGAAAACTTGTATAGTTCAAATATGACTTATCATTGCTTTATAGTACTATTTCATCACATTTGAAATCCCCATTTTTTTGCAGATAATGCAAAGTAAATTAAATTTGAACAACATTATATTTTGAGAAATGTTAATTTTACCCAATATCATCGCTAATTTTGGTCATTATGAAAATCATTGTTTCATGTGATGTTACATTAATTTGCCCAGTATCTTATATTGGAATAAAACTAATATTTTATATTGGAATAATGCTTTATTCTTTTCAGTTATATTTCTATTCCATTTCATTGGCAATACTGATTGGTAGAACCATTTGGGATAGCATAAAAATATATTTATCAATAAACAGTGTATATGTTTATCTTTGTATCAGAACAAGAGCAAGAGATGTTTATTCACTTATTTCTTTTCAATATTAAACCTGTTATTTTACCTGTTTAAATTTCAGCTCAAATAACTCAGCCCAAATTCCTTATCTAATATAATTAAACAATCTCCTAGTGTTCAATAACATTGTAGAGATACAGATAGTTTCCTAAGGTAGTATTCTGGGATTAGTTCTTGGAAAAGGATTTCACACCTTCAAAGCTGGACAGAGAACATTGAAGAAACAATTGCCTTTTCATAAATCCCCTGTTCAAAGTGAAAGTTGAACAATTAGAGATGATGAACTGCTTCTGAAAGGAATGGAGGTATGAGAGCGCCCTTGTATTACACAGTGTTTCCTACTGCGATTCTTGAAGCTGTTCTTTAGTTTTTGATGCCCTGCACAGGGTTCTCTTGACTATTGACTGACTTTGACATTTACAGCATCAGGTGTCTCTTAAGCTAGTAATCCTCACCTGGGCTGATTTTGTCCTTCAAGGGATATTTGACCCTGCCTGGAAACATTAGCTGGTGCAGAATATCTGCAGTATATAAGATTGCCTCGCACAAGAAAGAATGATCTAGCAACAACATCAGTAGTGCTGAGACTGAGAAACTCTGCTGTAAGCAGTAGAGTGGGAACTTAGGGCACAGGATGGTTGGTGGAGTTTCTCAGTTTCTATGCAGTGAAACAATTCATATCTTAATTCATGGGCTGCATGGTAAAGAATATAGCATAAATTACATCTGATATTTTCTTATCACTGTGTTGCTCACAAATAATTCACTTATGTATCGAAATCTCCAGTATATACTTAATATATGGGCTAATATCTTCACAAGGTTTATACTGATATTGATAATCTATTTCCATAAATACCAAAATGAATGAACATAGAGCTTGGAGTATAATGTACTAAAAGTAAAAATAGTTACCTATTATAGGCTTAATGTACAATCAGAGATTTTATAGCCAAAGAAGAATTTGTTTTATTGTATTTTAAGGTATAGTGGGAATAGAATTCAGCTCATTAATCATTATTTTTAAATTATGGTGATGAAGGAATCAACAAAAGTATAATAAAGGTAAAATGAATGATAATGTGGTAGAATATTTAATTGCTTACATCCTATGAGGCAAAACTTTAGCTACATTTCACTGAACAGTGTTTTCAGGATATGAGGATCAGGTTAGGGTTTCTTCAAGAATTTATCCCAAGAGTTAACTCAGTATGTCTGTTAGCAATATTAAGATAAATCTAAGGCACTAATTAATGATGATTGAGATTGTCAGCTTGACTGGATTAAGAGGCTGCTGGAGTGCTGGAGAGGTGATTGGATCATGGATGCTTCACTCATTATATTAATTCACTGACATTCATAGCTAAATGCAGGTTACAAGGTTGGGCCCAGTTGGAGACAGCAGGTTATTGGGGTGTGCCATTACTGGGTATATCTTTTCTGCTGGTGTTCTGCCTTTGTGCTCTTCTTCCCAGCTGCCCTGAAGTGAACTGCTTTGCTCCATCATGCCCTTTCAGATGATGTTCTTGCACTGGAGCCAGCCAACTATGAACTGAAAACTATGAAATTAGTAGCAAAATTAAACCTCCCCTTTAACTTATAGGTGTCAATTCTTTTGTCCCACTGATGGGAAAGCTGAACAATGGTACATATAATTGGTGTTAGAAGTGGGAATGTTCCTGTGACTCTACCTGACCACATGGTTCAGAAGCCTTTGGAACTAGTTTGCAGGTGAAATTTGAAAGACTAAAATTTGCCTACATTTTGCCCATGTCCTGAGACTTTGCAAGAGGTTGAGTTACAGGGTACTGGACTACTTGCTGTAGTTGAGGCAATTTCAGGGCAGACCAGTGTTCAGGCTTTGGCATGGATCCTGCTGGGTCTTTTTATTCAGATACGTAGCAAGAACTGGGAGCATACATCAGATCAGAAAGATTTGAAAAACCTATGTAAAATTGAGGCCAAGAAGTGTGTTTGTTGAAGAGATTAGTATTTTAAAAAAGAAACCAAGTACAGTGATACTGTGGTTGTTGAACTCAATTTGTTCCAATTTTGTGTTTGAACACCAAAAAGTTTGAGAACTGAACATATTGTTCCCATAAGAAATAATGGAAAACCAAATAATTGGTTCTGAGACCCAAAAATTACACTTATAAATGTATTTTTTCAAGACTTTAACAAATTTCCCAGTGATTTCTTTCTTTAACTCTATTGTTCTCAGTTTTCCTCCTAGCTTTACTGCTGGTATCAAAGAAAGAATACATCTTTCTTTGGAGCCATAGTTACAATATTTTATACAAATAATGTACAAATAAAAGTACAGTGACAGATGTTTTAATACACTGACACAGGCACTATCCGTGGCCTGGGTGAGAGCAATGCTTTGACTGAAGTATCATCCTTTTGTGTTGGCGGTGAGATGTGATGTGTGACTCATTCTTGGCCAATACAGATTTTTCAAGTCAGAGTTTTGGTTTGACTGTCTAGAAAACAAACAACAAACAAATTTTTTTCAAACTTGCCTTCTCAAGTAGTGGAAAATTCAAGTGTGCAGCCTCTCGACAACTAGGGTATCACTGTACTTTAAAGTGGAGAGGAGAAAAATGGCTTGAGTACATCTCAGAACTCAGTAAGACTCCACCCATCACAGGCCTGAGTGTGTAAAAGTGTGAATCTTTTATCTGAGAGCAGAGCCTCCAGGCCCCTTACTCCAGAGGGGCTACCTGGGGAATTGGTTCCCTGGGATTTGTTTCACTGTGCTCAGCCATTTAGGTACCTAGAAGCCACACTGTTTGAGCTGATGGCATAGCTTGGCATTGTCTACATGATGCTGGTTGTTCAGCATGTGGAATGCAAGGGTTATAGGGTCAGCGAAGCTTCCACCTAGATTTCAAAGGAATGCCTGAGAGACTAGGCACCATGCCCTTGAGAAGTGTGAGTGTGAAGCTGTGGGAATGAATCAAGTATGCATTAGAGATGCCAAAAACGTGGCACATATGTTGAACAAAGCAGCACGCAGTGGAATCAGCCCAAGAGAAAACTGTGGACTACAACCAGCAAGACCATAGGGGTGAGGCTACTTAAGCCCTTTGGAACTTGTGTCTCACTACCATGTGCTTGGATGCAGGATGTGCAGCTACAGGACTTAATATCTACCCTCTATATTTGTCTTTCTTTGGTCTGATTCTTTTTTATCTTCCTGTTCCTCACTTGAAGTTGGGTGTTTCCCTGTACTATAGTATTTTGTTGTTATTTACCCTTTTCTTCAATTTTGTAGGGGTTTACAGCTAAGAGTTTACCTTCAGTCTCATAGAAGACTTCTGATTTGAACTTCTGAACAAGGGTGAAACTGTTGAAACTTTGGTTAGGATGTTAATGCATTTTTGGTCACACATGGGATAGTTATATTATGCAGAATTATGACTTTGTATTTATTAGAGAGTAAGAATTATTTATGTGTATTTGGGTATAGAGTTAATGCGGAGTAGAATATGATGGGTAAGTTTAATGTCAACTTGACTAGTTAAGAAACTCTGAAAGAGGTGATTGGATCATGAGCCTCTATCTAATCCCTCCATCAATCTACTGATGTTCATGCCTAAATGTTCCATTAAGAGATGGAGCCCAGTTGGAGGAAGTGGGTCCCTGAGAGTATGTCTTTGGAGGTCATGTCTTCTGGTCATCTTTCCCTGAGCTCTGCTTCCGAGCAGCCATGAAGTGAGTA